CTCCACTACCACTATACTACTACTATCAAGTTGTAGCGCATCCCGATTCCTGAAACGTAATTAAGAGCAAGTCGTTTAAGTTGAGCGTATCGCGGAAAAAATCTTTAAGTGCGCAAAATACAATGCATTATTATTCTCAAAGTCCACTCTCCAGAATAGAACCTTTATCTTCTTGATTTCAACATTTAAATTTCTTATACTGTGTCTTCTGATATACGTATATTTCATAGGTACCTATGTATATACAATATCTCGTTTTAATTAAATGACGAATAATTAAATTAACTATTCATCGTAATGTTTAGTACTAAATCGAGAACGTCATATACTCTAAACAATTTATCATATTAGAACTATGTGCGTAATGTATATTATATTGTATAGTAGGTATAGCATTACGAATTCAAAATTGTACGTAAGGTTCATAGTTATTATGAGCTTATTAATTTATTAAAAACATCGACAAACGATAATGATGACCGCGTTATTCTATACTCGAGCAATAACAACAATAATAATAATAAAAATACCGTAAAGTGAAAGTGGAAACGAGCCCGAAAAGTGTATATATAATATATTATAACGTATAATACGGGTCTGCATCTGTCTTCGTTATGATGACCTGGCATTTTAAAAACCGATAGATCGACCTACAGCAGCAGTTAGGGTTTCTATACATATATATATATATGCGCACGAGGAGAGCCAGCCAGTTCATTTTTAGCAGTTTCTAGAAGTATACACTACTGCAGCGGTAACGGTGGCGCGGGCGGCGTTATCGTCCGTGTCCCCTCGTTAGCCTTCGGGGAATTGCCAGGGTGGTTTTTATCACTTTCTGTAAAAAATGGATTGTCATCATCATTTACGCGGGCGCGAGCGCGTGTGAGACGGCAGCCCGGGGTAGGTGTAGTACGCGCACCGTAAGGCCCACGGGACGGAAGAATTCCAGTCGTGAAATTATACGCGTGCTACACTATACTTTTTTTTCTCTCTTCTTTGCCATACCACCACCACTCCCATCTACACCTCCACCAACCCCGGGTTCTGACAGTGTTATTTTTCCTACGATTCGCACGCCGCAGTTTCTATATACGCCGTACAATATAACGCGGTTGTCGCGTAATAACTAAAAGTTGTCGCTGTATTTTTTATATATATGTTTCCTATACACATACACACGCATCATATATATTATATATGTATATAGGAAAAGAAACCGTTGTACATTTTCCCATGAGGATCTGTGTATAAAAATGTATATATAAATTGTGTATGTGTATGTATGTGTGTGTCCGTGTGCTTGTGTGGGTAGGTACATTTTTTTCTTCAGCCCCGAGGTCGGCCAAGCGTAAAGAAAAGCTTACCGCCGTCATTAACGTTTTGCGGCGCCCTCTCTGTTTGGGGCCATAGTAAATCATTTAATCTCCGGTCGACGGGACCCAATGCAAACGGGACGTGAAAATTTTTTCGATAGGGTGTTTCGACCTGCTGTGAGCCCCTGCGCCAGTAATATAATATTAAACCAAGTAAAAAATTTCGTTACTAACACCCCACGCATGTTGGCGAATAATAATAATAATAATAATGACGAAAAAAAGGCCCACTTCTTTTCACTATTAAAGTGTTTTATAACATAATGTAATTATACTGAAGCGAAAGCAACATGTCTAAAAATAAGTATAACAATAATTTTACTCAAAGGTGGGTAATTAAATAAAAAAATTAACTGGAGTAAGTTACGATAAGTCTTAAGTTGAGTCAACGGTAAGCTATAAGTTATTATTAGTTAACAAACAATATATTCAACTTCAAAAGCTTAAAGTTTTAATGAAGAAAAATATTAATATATAGCTCGGTAAAAATATGTTATTAATTTTTTTTTAATTATTGCATAAATTACATACATAGAAATTGTACAACTTCCAATTTTTAAAAATAATAAGTATTTTGTTTAAAATGCGGGAAAATTTCAGGAATATATTCCCTCTTATTTCAACACACTATAGCTGTAAGGTTTAGGCAATTCCAGAGATTAAATCAAGGAATATTAAACTGTTTATTTGTATTTTATAATTATATATTATATTATAATACCTATACAGTGATTAAAAAAAAAAATTAAATAATTTATTAGTTTTAACGATACAACTTTTATAGTTATGAATAAATATTATGATTTAAATTTAAAGTATTAATTTTCAAGTTAGCTGGAAAAATCTAAGATGTTAGAATAGATTCTTTAACTAAGTAAGTAAAAATAAAATTTTTCCCGTACCTAGGTAATAGTTAATGCCATGCATTGATTTTTCTGATAAAATTGATGATCGCATGTCGTATAGGTTTACAGGCTATTGGAATATACAAAGATACAACTGATGTAAATATATATTGAGAAACAAACCGACGAGTATGCATCAATAAATGTTTTCGTCCTAAATAACTTTTGGGCAGTTGGCTGCTGTAGGTACGGAAACGTTGAGACCACCTTTTGAATTTAGTGTTGAATATTTTAAGCAGATTTCAACGTCGAAAATAGGATACGGTCGACGGCAGCCATTTTCTATACATATGTATATCGTATATGGTATATATATATATATATATATGTACGAATACCGCAATCGTCGCACTGCAGGACTGTGCCGGCGACCGTTTTATTGGCCTTTGCTGGATTTTTATGTCCTACTGTAACGGTTCGGGTCCCTCGGATTTTCACGGCGTTCCCGTCGAACACGCTCGCGTTTTATTGCGCACCATCAAATCTCAATCAAGAGTCAATTTGCCGGATCGGCTGTTTGAGACATTTAGCCCACGATAGGTACCTTAAGCGTTGATTTACAACTAGGCGGCGAAAAAATTACGTAAGCCTCAAGTACCCGCTGTAACAGTCGCCAAGCAGGTCATATACGTGCGACAACGAAACGCAATAAAAGGAAAATAATATATTTTGTAATCGCCATTTCATTCCAAATATATCTACAATTTTCGTAAGCGGAACAATAACGCAAAATTATTAAATAATACATTATGATGAAGCGATAGATATTCTGTTCTAATAACAGTTTTAGTATAGCTGATTTTATAACACGAATGAACGTTAAATTATTAAACTGGTAGCTCGAAAAATGTATAATGATGCTGCTACGGTGTATCATTTATAATAACGTACACTGAGAATGTATACATATAGTAGCTATAAATGTCCCCCGATAGCGAGTGAGCGATTAGAGTGTACCGCGTTCCCCATTATGTATACAAGCAATATATATTTTAAAAGCGTTCGTTTCGAGTGAAAATGTAAAAATTCGTCGCACTCGACATTCCTAAATATATTACATATGCGTAGAATACGGCGTGTATACATAGTATACATATATTTATATATGTGTGTGTAGACACACGCGAAATGTAACTGTAGCGCGAGGTGGAGAAAACCAAACGCGAAGAAAAGCGCACGCACCACCGAAACAACATGGCGCCGTCCACCCCTCTGCATGCCCACCAGCGTGCGCATAAAAGCCGCGGCAGTCGCTCTTTCGCCGCTCCCTCCGACTTCTCTCTCCCACTCACTCTCTCTCACCATCCGTTCTAGCGGAATTTCACGTCGGGGGTCGTCCCAACACTCTGATGAATGTTTGTAATTATAACAGTCAGACCCGTTCTAATTTCGCCGAATACACACTCTCGTGTATATATACTCTGTGCACCCCCTTGCCAGCGTACCATACACTATAGTGCCGCCCACCCTATCCAAAGCACCACAACCCACCCGGCAGCAGTCTTACCGCCGCTGGTGTTTATATGTATACGTATACTCGGAACGGCGTACATTACACGGGGACCCGTTCCCGGGGTTACTGGATATAATCCCGAAAGTTCCGGAATCCAAACTTCGGAAACTACATCATCCTTGAGTTGCCGTGACGAAACTCCGAGCCGAGGGATTAAAATTATTTCCCCGGACATTCGCGGAAACAATGTAAAATGCATTCCGGCGCCGACCGACACTATAATTGATAGTAAATAATATATTATATTATATTATAACACACTTATAATGTTTTGTAAACGGCGCATCAATAATGAACTTATAAAACGATAACTGCTGAGTTATTATTGGCTTTCGTGAAGACGATATTGTTATACAATATATAGATAGAATTAATTCATTACTCGTTTTTTTATACAAATCCATCATAATATTAAAAATATTTACACATATATGATATATACATCAAATTAAACGATACGTGGTATTATTTTCATACAAATTATGCCGTAGGAATGGTTTTCAATACGACACGTCCTCACTGCAGTGAAAGCCCATCAAAATAAAGAGAGTTGCAATCATTATATCCACTCGTACCGGCCGACGGTATAAATAGGTATGCATTTTCATTATAATAACATATACATTTTACAGTGATTATTAAACCTCTCTCTGTACGTAGAATATAATATTATAATGTAAGGCACAAGTGCAGGGTAAAAACGTCTGAGTTTCTTTTGTTATCGTGTCGAATATAATATACGTGGAAGGTATGCGTCTGAAATGACTAAACTCTATACACGTTAATATACATTTTGATACTTGTAGACATACCTATAGATACTATATATAGTACGGACAGGACAGGGGAATTGGAATAGAAGAGCAGTTGTTCTTTTTTCTTAAGTGAATGATGATTCAGCGTTTTATTAATACATACTCAGATTAGAGGGTCTTTCGTAATTACAGGTTGATGGTGGATTGGCGTTTTAAAACCATTAAGGACACACTCACACACATAAACATAAACGCGCACGCGAGAACACCGGGCTTATCTGTGTATAACATAATATAATATAATATACACACGTGTATGCACGTAAAATAGACAATGATGAGACGACGTCGAAATCAAGTTATAAAAACAAAACACAAATTGTATCGTAATGGTTTTTGAAGTACGCCACATTAATATATATTAACGGCGATTTAAAAGATAATGTCGACTTACCAATTGTTGACTTGAAGTATAGTCAGACCGGTGTCTTGAGCAAGTTGTTTTTTCTGATCTTCCGATGGGTAAGGATGCTGGAAAAAAAATTAAGTTATTCAATAACGGTATATATAATGAAATCCTTTTTATAGAAACATCTGACATATACCCATACATAGAACATATTTCTAAGCTGTACCTACGTCTACATTGTATCCGTGTACAGTTAGCCTAAACTGTTAAAAAATCGGTTTGTGTTTGAGTGCGATTTCTTTAAAAACGATATAGTTTATATTAAACTTGTAGAGTTCAATAGTAATTTTTTAATGATACGTCGTCAAACCTTTTTTATAATATATATAGTATAATAGTATTATAACTGTGTTTAAATAAGCTCAGACACGATGACGTTTCGAACCAAATTATATACATAAAAAAAAAAAACTCTTTGCAATTGGATCCGGAGGCGTTCTAAGCCGCCCACTTTTGACAAGTGACTTCGAGGTAGAGGATATGTTATTTGTTGTATAATGATGCGTTGTCGAGGTCGCGTGCTCTATACGACATCTCCATTATTCTTGAAAACATCACGTACAATAATAGGAAGGGAAAAATCAGTAATATCAACGCCTCTTTGTAAAATGTATAGCGTTGCCATTTCCGTTGCACCGTCATATCGATGTTCGCGAGAATTATTCTCAACTTTGTAGGCGTATCCCTTGGTATACAGCACCATTAACGCCCAAACGGCACGTGACATCCGATATATCAAACGTAACGCGTGTAGTTATGAGCAAATTATTTTTAGAACAAAAATGTTTAACGAGAGCATAGTCAGTCGATTTCTCCGACGAAACAATTATTAATATTTTATTATTGTTTTTATTATTATGGCTACACTACGACTGACGACTGGTGGGTGATGTTAGTACAAACGCATTTTTATTCATAAATTGATATCGAATAACTAACAGAAACTTATACGATGTTATTATATTTTATGTACCATAAGGGCGTACGTTCATATATACAAGGTAGGTATCCCGCAATAAAATCACGATATGATATTATGCCGGGAAGGAATTTTCTATCATTTTCATAACGTGATGTATACCCCCTTTTTGTCGGTAGACGAGACCAATAACGATCGAGGAAGAGGTTTTTTTTATCCCCGTAGCTCGTTGGAAAAGCAATAAAAGCATTAAAGCATTGCCTATACAGACCGATGGGAATATTGGTTCCCCTCTTTTCACATATTTCCCTATTGGTAAGAAAATATATATACAAGCGTATAAAAATAGATGGAAGAATGTGCACGAATATTTTACAGCACGACAGCTCTATATATACATAATAGCGTAACTCAAAAACCCAAATCTGTGATTCAAATATCCGATCAGTAATAACAAACTAAACTAGGTACACATACTTCCTACACAACACACTAGCAGTAATGTTGTATAGATTTAAAGTTATTCGAAACGTGTTGTTATTTTGCGCTGTTAGTTAGTACGAGTAGTTGTTAATTAATTTAGTTTAGTTAATAATGATGTATTACTATAAATATGATTTTATATATTTCAAAATGTTTACTATCGTAATTTAGACAGTTCTTTTAGTGCAATATTATGGTATAATATTTAGATTTCGAAAAATGAAACATTACGATTAATGTAATTCAACTATCACTAGTTCAACTATAGTTAAAAATGTTTGCTATTAATTAGATTTAAATACGTAATAAAATATAATTTTAAGTGGTGGTGAATAAATAACTAGCGATACATCAATAATGTTTGAATACAAACTTAACCTGAACCGAATTGTTGTTTAAACACTGATACGACAAGCGTGCATCTAAATTTAATTCCGAGGGTCATTTACCAAAATAAAAACGGAAGGGGAGAAGTGTGTGCGTTTGAAACCGCTGATAAAGCACGAAGATTAAACTCCGAAAAATAGGCCTGTGAGCACGTAGTTCCGTTTTTGAACTGAATCCCAAATATCCACGACGGTCGCTGAATGTTTAATGGAGCCCGATTGAAGCCTCTAGGGGCCCCCGGGGGTGTGTATGCCCCCGCCGTTTTAGGACCCATTACGAATGCCTGCAGTTGCATGACCCTTTAAACCAAAGTGAGATAGAGAGAGAGAAATATATATATATATAGAGAGAGAGAGGTATAAAGAGATACAGAGAAAGTGAGAGAGACGACACGACAGTGAAAGCACTGAGATAAACATTTTCCGTCGTATACCCGCGGGAACCCGTCGCTGGCAAAGTTGAAAAGGACAGGTTGATTTCGCGTATAAAACTACCGTACTCAAATGTGATTGAATAATCGGAATTATTATTATTAATATCGTAATAATAATAATAACGTTTTATTAATTGAAACTTAAATGGCTTAAAGTGGGTATATAATTTTAAAGACATACTTAATTGATATTATCTACCTATCGATGCCGTTTAAGGGAACGTATTTATTATAGCTTTTAAAAATTCAAGTGACGAAAAGGCGAAAAATATTTTATGATGGGATAGAGACCATTTCCTTTAACAACTATAACACACGAAGATTTCCTGAGAAGTATAAACCGCAGCGCGCGTCGTAGATGGGCAATTTCGTTCTTCGTTCAGCCAATATAACAAACAACAGCAAGGGATCGACGGAAAAGAAAAGGGTCTTCGGGGAGTCGTGGTGACTATTTCCTTTCCGGATAAACGACACAGAAATGGAAAAAAGGTTTTTTTACTACAATGTAATAGTATAGCATGCTATGCGATGATGCTGCTAGGAAGCAGTTTAGAGGGACGACTCTTAGCGGCCGCATTGATGCGTCGTTGAGTCATTCACATATTCATAGAATCGCCCTCACTGAAGCAGTTTTCCTAAGCAATTTCCGCACCCCTCTCCGGATTGCTATCTCGTAAATATACGCATATTATGCGCACCTCATCACCATTTCACATGTTATAATAATAATTCCGGAGTTTGCGCACAAATCGGACGAAACCCGTTTTCGCGTGCTTTACATATGCGTGTCATTTATTATTACACCATATCGGGTTTAATCTAAATAAATGTATTTAGAGTTTTTACACAGCTCACGAGTGGAAAAAAGAATTGTATAATAATAACGTTATTATTATTATTATACAGACTTGTACGGGTTTCCTTTAGGTATAAAAGTATATAAAACATGATTCGATTACATTGTGTTACGACGGCAGTAACGCACTATCAATTTAAAAGGTAAATAATGATTATTCACCCATTACTTTTTATTTATCTGGTAAATTTATTGTCGTTACGACCGTGTAACAGGAACTCACCGATCAAAACACGGGTTATTACATCAAGGTAAAGGCTGAGATCGTAAAAATCCCATCAAGATGCAATACAAGCTATACGGAAAAATCCATCCAGAGCGGATGTATACGCCATAAAATTCAACCCCTGTATTAACATCGAATCCACGACTACTATAAAGACAACGATTAGGGGATTGTTATTATACGTAGAAACTTTTTTGATTTTGTTTTTCGCAATTTTGTAGATTTTCAATAGCAGAGGGTTATGGTCGATGAGTATACAATTATCATGACAATAAGTAAACCGTGATTAAAATTGTGTAGGTATACTGTATAAGATATATTATTATACGATTCTTTACAAAACTGAATTAATCGTCATACTACAAGTTATCAATTAATATAACAATCGTGCAGCTCATAATAAAATTCAATAGGGGGGGTTCATTGTACACGAGTACACGACAATCGACAAAATATAGGTGGCAGGTACTGTACCTACCTATATTATTAAAAAAAAAATATATAAAAATGAAACGTGTGAGAACAGGTACTGTAATTCTGGTGTCCTAAAGCGTGAACGCGATAAAGAGAAAAACCCCCGGTACTTTGTTTTTTCCCTTCTCTGTCCAGTTAAATTTACGACGCTATAAAACTAATATTGCATCTGGTCGTAAATCTTGACGGGGTTAGCAAGCTTTCCCGTTATATGCACTTCAATGTGATAGACTCGGTATAAACACGCACTAGTTATGTAAGTGTATAATAATACGTCTTTAAATAAACAGAAATTAGATGGCTAATCAAACGTTAACTCCCATTTATAGGCATGCCTAATAAAAAATTAATATAGGACGTATTTATATATAATGACGTAGGCAGGTAAATGTTATTATTATAATACTTAGTCCAGTCGTATGTACAGTATGCTTATTAAAATGCAATCATATTCAGAACAAAACCGTTCATAAATATTTATGGTTTTAAGCGTAAGAATATCATAAAAGAGACTTTGTGTACGATGTCCCTCCCATATTATATGTATTATATCAATACAATAGAAATTCGATATATCTACTTTACGGAACTTCAAACACTGAACAACAAAATAAGGAACTTTATTTTTGTAATCGAATTAGATATTAAAATATTTTAAGACAGTTAAAATGTACAGCTGTATGAATATTGTCATTAATATTAAATCGACAATGTACTACTTTGAGAACGATTATTATACTTATAACTTATTAGTTATTACAGTCGAGTGGCTTAAAAATAACAATACACGAAGATGTATACCGAATGCAAATAAAATCGCATGATAAGACATCTGGAAAGACTCATTATAAGATAGGCAAGGACAAACACATAGTGTGTTTTATAAGATGTATTCTGATATTATTTCCGGAGCAAGTAAAAATTAAGGATTTTTTTTAACCCACTATAGTCTACTAACCTAACCTAATAATTATTTTGCATGAGAAACCGACGATTATAGTTTTATAGGTATACAAATGTAATTGTATGAAAGAAAACGAGGTGGTTAATTTATTGATTCAAGAGATACCGATGTGTAAGTAATTTCAAGAAAGGTCATTGCATTCTTAAACATACACGTTATAACGAGTAATCACAATGAAATGCGGTTACCGCACCATTGTTAAAAACAATCACAACGGAAAACGTCCTACAATAGCCAATTAGAATAGCGTCAACAGCAAACTGGAAACAAAGCTTAAACAATGGTCATCTTTGATTTTATTTCAGGTAGAAAATCAGCGC